AAATGTTTATTACAAGCAAGAAGACGGCAATAAATCAAGCTTAAACATAAATCTAACCGCCAGCGACGTCTACTGTCTTTTGTCTTAATTAGCAACCGTGATGCTGGATATATTCTTTCATTTAGTGCAATCTACTTTACTGTGATGCTCTACTGGTAACATTTATATTGACACATACTGTTGTCTTTATTTATTTAGAAGCAATGAAAGGGATGGAATTATGTATTATTAATGTTACTAAAGAACTCTATTTTAAAATGGACTATTTGTTACTTTACCTTATTACTTTGGTGAAAACTTTATTGTCTTGGCAGTAATAGCACAAACAAGTTAGAGGAAATGCTTACGAAATCATATTAAAATTTAAGTTAAATAGAGATAGTTAGAAACAAACTTTAATTAATATATTTCTATATTTCATTTAATAATTTACCTATAAAGTGTTTTCAGTAATAAACAAAGGTAATACTTAACATAAAATAAATAAATCATTGTAAAAAAATGATGACACAACTTTACTTTATCGAGATACAGAATATCTTTATTTTCTATCTAATTTTTATTATAAATATTACATTAATCTTACACAAAAAAAATCCACTAAACCAGTTATATGGTTTGTACATAATGTAATAACAGTGTGTGTTCTTCAAATTATTTCAATAACAAGCAAACATAATAATATTAGGTCTTCCTGAGTACACAAAGCTGATGTATATGTAAGACGGGTCATAAAAATTCTCTTTTCCTACTTCTAATTCACCTCGATATTTTCTTATATCTCTTTGAAAAAGTTTTTCATACATAAGGAGTCGTAATAAAAACATACAAGTCAACCGATGCGTGCTATAATTTGTTTACATTTCTTATGCTAACGGTTCGGATACAGATTCCATTATTCAATGATTCGATTCCAATATATCTACTAGGGGGCTAGGAAAAGTTCATTTGTTTCGAGAATGCCATTTCATTCCATAATGAATTTCAATAATGTATAGAACTGACGCGCAACAATTACGCTCTCGCTCGCGACTACGTCCATGTGGATTAAAAAAAATCTTGATTAGTAGCCAATGTGATCTTCCAGACTATGTTATAAATGTGTGCCAAATTTCATCAAAAGCCGTACCGGAGATACCTTCTAACAAACGTCCATCCATCCATCTAATATTAGTAAGATCTATATCTCGTGAGTTTATTATTTTTTTAATATCATTTTTGTTCATTACTTCTTCCTCAATTAATACATATGAATTAAAACTTCGTCACTGTATTACTTTGTACATTTTGAAGGAACATTTTTAACTTTGTACGTAAAAGAAAAAGTTGTGATTGTTATGAAGATGATTACTGAAAAGGTTTCTTTTATAAGCCATTTACATTCGACACGTGTTCAATTTTCCTCCCACGTAGTTGATACAATGCCTTTAGATAAACTTTTTTTAGTAAAATCTCTTAACATTTTTCGTCCAAATTTTATATACTTATCATCATCATCATTAGCTCACCATATTTCCCCACTGAGGAGCTCGGAGTATACCCTAAGTAAGTGATCGCCAGGCCATAGTGAACCACGCTAGGTCAGTGCGGGCTAGTTGACTTCACACATGTCTTCGAATTTCTTCACGGATAGGTTAGTCAGGTTGCGTGAAGATGTTTCCCTCACCGCAAGAACGTCGGATAGTTTATACGTAAATAAAAATTGGCGTAAATTGGCGACATAAATGGATGATCTAAGGGTTTCGGTATTTTCCTATGAGGTTCGGTATGTGGTGGGATTCGAACCCAGGACCTGTAGATTCTAAGTCAAGTACGCAACCACTGAGCCACCGACGCCCTATATGCTTTTAATTTATTTAATTGATTACGACGTTACTTTCACTAACTATAATTTAATCTTTATAAAATAATTTATTAGACTCGCACATAATGATCCGTTAGCATAAAATGAAAAAAATCTGTTTATTGCATTACTAAAAAATTTAAATACTGCTTTAATACTGTTTAAAGTTTTTAATGATCCCTGAAAAGCTTAGCAGAGAACAATAGAATTACTGAAAGTTTTACGGTCTCTACGCTTGATGCGCTAACAGCTAATGGCTTATTTAGCTGATGAGCGCAAAATGCATGACGATATAAAAGTTTTAATGCCATTTTACAGACCATTATTAGACTATAACAGAAAGCAGAATACTTTGCATGTTACAAAGAAACAGGCGCTTTAATTGTTTTACGATAATTTTGTTGTTATAAAAAATCCATTTTTATGTTTTAGTCAGTGATGTGATTTCATATTCTTGGTATAGTTCTTTTCTTAAACCCTATATAATCCTAGTAAATTGATTATATATACACTGATTCGAGCTGTAATATAATAAATTAATTGGAACCGAACTATATGTCTGGTTCCATTTAAAACTAAATGTTTGTTGATACAAGAATAATTAATAGGTATATATTAATAGATGGATGTGATACCGTTTTTGCGATGTTCGGGACGGAGATAAATCAATTCAGTGTATTTGTATGCGCGATTCGAAATGAACACGTAAATTTACGGCCGCATGAATTGATTAATTAGTGGATTTGATAATTATCTAACAACCTTCGATTTGGTAAGACAGATTATATTTTCTTAAGTTAATATAATAACGATTTCTATCCTAATTGGACCAAATTAGAATCGGCAATTGAGTAATCTGAAAATCACACATACTATTTTTTATTAAAAGCGAGCAAACGTGCAAGCGGCCTGATTATTGTTAATATACCAAAGTGACTGCTCCTCAAAAACATGTACAAAAAGTTTTCGATCTGCATACCTTAAATTAGCAGGATAATTATCAACACTTTCGATAAAATGCGTTCCTCTAGTGTTGCGTATGTCCATGGGTGTCGGATCAATTAATACTAAGCGATCCGATGGTCGTTTGTCATCTTACTCTATAAAAAATCGTGTCAAGTTTTTTTTATTTACTGTTAAAATATTTGAAGTTGAAAATTACGAAGAGAATCTAAGTTTTCATTGAGAAAGATAATTTACGTTATGTAGAAGTTTTAACTAGTGAAGAGCCGTGAAAAGCTAAATGTAGTTTAATTCGCTCCGTAAAATATATTAACTCCTATTTCTTACTTGGAAGTTCAACTCTGAGTTGTAAGTCTACGCTTTTCATAAAATGTAAAAGATTATTATTCAATTCTTAAAGAATTAATATTATTAAGTCTGAAAGTTTAAAATTACTTTAAATTTAAGTTTTATATAATATGATACTCTTTTTGTATATTATCTATATATAAATCAATTGCTGTTCATAAGTCTTGCTAAAACCTCGAGTGCAGCTGAACGGATTTATCTTATCTTGGTCTTGAAATGTTCGTGGAGGTCCAGGAAAGGTATTAAAGGTGAGAAAAATTCAAATAATTGCGGGGAAAACCCCAAACACGGCCCTTTTATCCCATATAAACTTTTTCTAAATAAAAATGTAGAATGAATTTGATCTTTATTGACGGTTTATGTTTTTTTTCTACTCCGCGCGAACGAAGTCGCAGGCGACAGCTAGTTAAGTAATAATCATATTAGGTATTGCTATGTGTATTTTAATCTGAAAATGAAGTTGTTACTGACACATTTCAATGGGACCTTTTCCTACCCTTGTCAAGGTCCTCTGAGGTAAATTACTCTTTGTGAAGGTTAAACTAAGAGCATTAAGTGTTCAACCACCGCTGATAAAGCTTTCAATCTGAAGGTAACGGAAGGTAACAGAGTTTACTTTTGACCGACTGACTATAAGATAATGAGATATGTTTGTAAGTTTACATTCCTAGAATCATTGCAAGCTATACAGTCTAGGTATCAGTAAACGGACAATATACTTGTTGTGAACACCACCTTATAATAACCATTACTATAAAAATAAATTTAATATACTTTTATATCTCATAATATAGAAAAGATGCGACGTATAAACTAGATAAAGTTTTCTAAGAAAAACAACAGTAGCTTCTTCTTGAGCTTGTCTTTATTATATACTTCTATTTTTAAAAAGTAAAGCCTTGGAAAAGTATTTTTCATCCTAACAATATGTTTAATTAAATACTTGACTGAAATCACTTCTTTTGTTTTAAAAATACGAAGAAATAATAAAATGTATTCGAAATTTTAACGCATTTTGAGTAAAACCTTCTTTGATTCTTATTACCCTTAATTTATTAAAAAAATGTTAAAAGGGTCACTTTAAAAAAATATAAAGATTGATTTAATGATGCATAGCAAACTTTCTATATAGTATATAAATAGGTTGTAAATAAATACAGCAAATTTATCAACAGACCAATTTATTCCCTTCTTGATAATGATATAATCAATCTCCAGTTAAGACAAAAATAAATGCAAAGTTCTTACACATTCAAGAATTGTGCGGCTTTTAATATTTCGGAACAGTCTTTCCTTCGTTACGTTTATATTTAACAAATTAACAAGTAGATATTAAACAAAATATAAATTTACTGATAGAAATTCTAGACGAAAAGAAAATAATGCACATCGGAAAACCTTAAAACAATTTACATTATAATAATTCTACTTAATTTTATTTACAAATAATTAATATTTTTACATGGTACAGAATACTTATTAAAAATTTAGAATATTTCGACACAATGAATAGTATTTTAGGAAACTTATATAGTCATTTATTGCAATTCTAAATTACAAATTTTTAATAAACTATTATAAAATTTACAAAAAAAATCTACACTTTACAATGAGTTAGCAACATCATTAAGATATACTATCATCAGTTGTATGTGATAAAAAATCTTTTATAGTAGGTATATACAAACCCCCCCCCCCACCCCTAACTTAGGGTAGGCTCTGAGTCCCTCGGTGGGGACGTATAGTGAGCTGATGATATACAAAAGAACCATACTAACAGTTCTTCTGGAATGTATTCTGCTAAATATATTATTTTGTATTCGTTACTTACAAGCAAAGACTCCCAAACAAAAAAAATATGGTCCACGTATATTTTAAAAAATTACAATTCTTAACAGAGAAACACATCAATTTTCTACATAATCGTAATCACTATCTCTCCCTTTATTTTACTAAAAATGTTCCATGTGAACAACATCCACTTTCTTATGAAAAGTCACCTTCGGAAGTCATCGCGTCAACGTCACTTCCGTATCACTGGAGCTTCTTGAACTTTCTTTAATAACGTCTAATTCTCTGTTTGAGAGAGAAGAGTGTCGTGAAAATTTCGGTACACTACAATGTTCACCTTTTTCATCAAAACTTTCGCGACAACCACTCATACAGTCTTTGGTTTCATCTGAATCATCTTCAACCACATTATTCACTTCCACCTCCAATAAGTGATCTTTGCCACCATATTGAATAAAATTTCGCTCATGACTCAGACTACGTATCCTATCAAGGTTATGTTCCAAATTATGTACATTATCATTTTCTATGCACGATGAATCATTAAACTTCCATTTGACACTTGAATTAAAATGCTCCACTCCCGGATACATACCTACACTATTGCTTCTGTGCCCGAAAACCGGACAGTTAGGTATTTCTCACAATTCAGAATGTCTGCCATTACACGTTTTTCCCAAATTTCCCTCATCTAAGCTCAAATTTGATCGTGATCGATCGCATTCAAATTCTGGATTTGGTCGAAATAGACAAAAGTCTGAATTTTTCAGCCTACACTGACGAGAACATGACTCTATTTGAAATGCTGAATGGTCAAATTGTCTGTATTCTGTAGGTCCATATCCATCGTAGTATCTAGGATCATGTTTACAGCTATTACTTGGGCAGCCTTTAAATGATCCAGTACACCGAAGAACGTCTCTATGACAAGCTTTTTGGATAGCATGTAAAGAAGTAGATGAAACAGTACGTTCTAAAATTTCTCCCCAATATTTCTCTCCGAGGCCTTCAAATTCACCTTTCGAATGAATGCCTTCAGAAGTAATTGGCGAACCGCAACATCCTGTACTTTTCTGATAGAATGCATAACTCTTCTTTCTGCGGCAACAAACCTGTGTAAATAATTCATTGTCAGTTTCATTTTACGTATTTATCAAGCATTTCATAGTTTATGTAAAATATTAACTTACGTAATACTGGACTAAATCATTGCTGATTCTTCGAAAGTGACCATTTAGAAGCCAATAAAGGAATGGATTCCAGAAACTATTGCTTAATGCCAACCACGTCACAATGAAGTCAAGCGATGGTGGTACCTGAGAAAATATCGATATTTAATATAGGCAATTTGATTTTGTATTAGATAAGAAAGTTTTACTTACTCTACATCCTGTACATGCTGCTACGACTTCTTTTATTGTAGCTGGTGTTACCATAACAATGAAACCCAAAGACATGGCTGCCATCGTACGAGACGTACTTAGACTATGAGGTCGAATTGGTGCCTGAATTTGCTAAAAAAACAGATAATATTAATACGAATATAAGAGTCAATTAAAAGAAATTAGTTTTAAAAAATTAAATTTACATTGAATAATGTACTAAAATGTTGTTTTTAACTTTATCTTCAATTATAAACAAATTTATTGACACTTACAACTGTTTCTAGTTCTCCGTGACTTGTTTTGGAACATGTTACAGGTACACCATTGGGTCTTGTTGGTTCTTGATCACATTTTGTCCTCGATTTACTGACGTGGAATCCCGAACCATAACAGTACATCAGAGCCATTGTTGTTGGGAAGTAATAAGCACAACAGGATAATATTCTAAAACAAACGTCAAAGATTAGTTACAATTAGAAACAAATGGTTACATGTAATATGAGAATGAATTTTGTTTACCTAAAAGCCACTCTGCTGTGAAACACATCACAAGCCATTAGGCCCGTAGAGTTGAAGTAATACCCAGATCTGGGGAGAACCATGATCGCGAATAATGATACTGACAAAATCCAAGTCACGCTTATAACTAATACGCAACCCTGCAATAAAAGATAAACTTTAAATACTACTAAAGTAATAAATTTTTTAAAGTTCTCTCCCACGACTAGATTAGAAAGAAATACTATGCAATATTAAATAGTAAATGCAATAAAGCATACCTTTTTACTCGAATGCTTTTGATAGGTATTTGGATGGAGCAAATACAAATACCTGTCAATGGCCATACACACTAAAATAACCGCACTCTGTTGACTCACAGCACCACGTAATAGTGCCTGAAAGAAAAACTATTTTGTTACTGAAACAAAAGCTAATCAACTACTAAACAAGTATAGCAAATTACTGTTTAAACTTCTTATTTCTATTAACTTGTTTATTAAATAATCTATAACGAAAATCTTAACGATGATGAGTTAAATAAAGACTTTCGAACATTGCATATAAATTGTAATTGTATTTCGGAACAGTGACTTTCCAATAGCGTGGTAATTACCGTTAAAGGAAATTAATTATAAAGCAACGACAACGGCGCTGCCCTGTTGGCAGATAAGGCACGAAGTCAAAGAACTTGAAACTTTGACGGCCTTGTACATTTTCTGCACGATCACTAAATGAGCCATTAGCCAACGAGCTATAAAAGATATAATCGATTTAGTTTTAGTTGTTACGTTAACTTGTCATTGGAATTTTAACAGCATAACTTTAAGGGTACCAAGGAATCAGGGCTAGCCGCTCTTTACCCCCCTAGCCCCTACCTTTACAACGCTCAAGCAATTACTGACAATAAGGTTCTTACGTCAATGTTTAATGGCAATGGCTTAGAAGTTGCATTATAGCAATGCTTCGATGTTATGTCCAAACACTGATGCCCGTATTGTAAAAAAAAGCTTCCCTATTTAATCTATTATACAATTCCATATCACAGATTAAGTACGGAGTCAAATGTGTGCTAACATTTTTAAATAGAGATAAAATTCAAATAAATAAAAAAATCGCTTCTACTACTGTTTTCTTGCTTAACTTTATATTTATACTTCGCCTCTTAAAGTATAACTTTATTTCAGTAACTTTACTCATTTTCTCGTCTCCATAATAACACTTGCTAACTTTTAGTAACTTAAAGTTGATAAACAACAATCACGATGTAATCTTTGCTTTATAACATATTTAATAAAGAAATTAACTGTATTTAATGTCGTTCGTTTTAAAAATAGATTATGTGTAAAGATTGTTTGGAAAATGGAAAGTCTTTATAATACGTACTTAACTTTTGCTCATCTCAAAGTAATAGAGAATGTTACTTGCCTGTATTTGGCAAAATATTTCTCCGTATGGCCAGCACTTGTATAACGCGGGTAGGAGTGCCACTGGAGCGATGAGTATTCCAGTGAACAGGTCGTTTAGTGCCAATGACGTCAACAAATATCTAGGCTGTAAAAATATGTTGCATAAATCGAGAAATATATTTGTAAGTACGACATAAAAATATTACAAATCAAAGCGGTACATTTTTTCAATTCTCTTTCATAGCTTAACATAACAAAGCTATCACTAACTTTTAATTTTTCCATACGATTTTAGGTAATTTACCGAAAAAAAATTAGGTTTTTAAATTTTCAAATATATTTTTCGAATTTAATTTTATTTGTTAGCCAGTATTTTTTTAATCTAATGTTAAATAAAATATCAACAATACTAACCTGATTATCAATGTATTTAATGTAACGTCGGTTATTCAGAACACAGATAAGAACAAGGTTAGCGAAAACTATTCCCATGGAGAGGGCAAATATAAATAGAGCCTTTAGTATGTCCGCGGGCGCGGGCAACGCTGAAGGCCAAACTTTACCATTCAGCCAACACGAGCTGTTAGAGAGAGAGGGCGCCACTAGCAATGCGCCTTTGGTCGAGTCAAACATAGTCGGCGCCTGCAAACTGCAGCGCAATGTTCTTTTAAATAATACATTTAGATCATTTGAAAACAAACACCCTTCACGCTTCAGATCTATAAATTCGATTTATATTACTGTCATAAAACTTATTGCATTGTCTTTTCATATAGTCCACAGCACATGTTTCGATGTCGACGAATCTTGAAATCAGGATCTAATCTGTAACAACGATAAAAAAAATTGAAATATAATTTTTAACATTTTGGTCATTGGTAAAAAGTACGCTTCTATTTATCACACATCTACAAAAATTGGAATTTGGGTAGCCGATTACCTAATAAACCTAAATCAAGGCGTAAATAATACTTATTGTGTCATTGGAATTATTATAAGAGAGTTAACACACCACATGTCCATCTATCAAAACGAAATGAACTCGCCAAGTAGCGTGGACGATTTAGGTCAGGGATATATTGTTCTATTAGTTTGCGACATGGACTTGGCAGAAGCCAGACCCACTCCAACGGAGATGTCGCTACAAAACAAATAAGAAACCTCTCTGGCGCCTCTCAATATTATTTTAAATAAATAAAATCGAAAAACCATTGCCAATGAGTTGTAGGAAATGTTATCAAATTAATATGTATAATTATGTTACTAATAAGCCTACGGAACAGTAAACGCCCGCAACATAACATCGCAAACGGCCTCACCAAGTTTGATTGACGTAATTTTAGGTTATTTAACATCATAAAATCTTTGTGAGCTAATCTCAAATAGTTGTGTGGGAGCAAATGTAGACAACAGTTAATCTTATATACTTACATAAAATGTAAGTATACTTTGTAAAAATACATAATCGAAACATAAGAAGTCCTCTTTAATAAGAAGTATATTGTTCCCCTCTTATAAGTCCCAAAGTCGTATCTGTTAGGAAACACCGCTGGGCATAATTGATTCTACGAAGAGATTGTGTTAGGAAGTACAAGCATACAATTGTGCAAACAATTAAGATACTATAATATAAGTACTAATTTTGTTTTTACCGTGGGCCTCAACTACTAAAGTATTCATACAGAAACATATTGTTATCCATAAAACGACTTTTGAAAATAAGCGCAGAATTTTTTTTTTATTTCATAAGGTGGCAAACCAGCGAGCGGCCACCTGAAATCGCTGAAATAGCGTAGTGACCGCTGCCCATAGACATACGCAATTGCATATGCGTTGCCTACCTTTAATCGACAGAGGAGAGGATGCACAGAAAGAAAACATTTCCATGCATCCTCTCATCCGGAAAGTCCACTTCCACTTCCCATCCTTTCTTTATAAGGAAAAGGATAGGAAGGGAAAGAGGACCAAATTAGGCCTCCGGGAATAACATGATACAGGACTTTAAAGCCCAGACTTTAAGTTTATGGTATTTAACCAACTGAGAAAACAATATGCATTTATTCGTTTCTTCAGTAGAAACGCTAATAATAAAAGTAATTATGATTTAATATAAATTGTAGGAGCAACCGTGGAGAATGGTTATATCATGCTGTAATAAAAACTGACTTCGATGATGGAAAAAAGCAAAATATTAACATACTATATATGACACTAATGTGTGAAAAAAATTCACAAAGTATCCGAGGTCACGAGGCCGTTGCTTATAAATGCACGAAGAATTGGGTCGACGCCAACAAAACACGCTATCACTGGAGACTTGCCTTAGGAATATAAATGTATAATTATAAATGAACAAAAGATGCTGTTTGTATGATAAATGTTTAGAAACAAATGAAATATATCTCATAAACGTCATAATCCTTAAATCATTTGGTTAAGAGCTACGACTAATGCAGGAAGAGTTGCTGAATCGGTAAAACAATCGTAGGATGAATATGAATCGAATCATACCTCACAATTAAATCAATCCAACTTAAACTACAAGCGGTCACAATAGAAAAGACATACAAGCAATGCATACTAGCATACTTTCATACCCGAAAAATCCTGTCGGGAATAAAACATATGAAAGCAGTAATGGATTTTTGTGAAGTAACTTTTTTTTCGTATATCTCCGAGACGCTTACTTTTAAGACGACTCTAAGATGTGAAGAGTAGTCTGTGCAAACTAACGACTTCTCGTCTTCAAAATGTATGTTCTGTGTATTATTCATGACGTAAACCAAACTAAGTCTTGTACTGTGTTATTTATTTAACACTTTTCAGTACGTACGTATACGTTTTTCAAGCTATTTTAAGCGTCTAAAAGGGATGTCAAAGTTCGTAACTTGAAATATTTTTCACAATTTATATACGAAGTCTGGATATTAGACATTTTACGTAGGGTTTCTTTGACATAAATACTTCAGAACAAATAATGAACTATCCCTCCCTTTCAAGCTTTTTTTTTAATATTCGTCCATTAAAGGTCTAAAGTGAAAGTTTGTTTGGACTTTTGAACTCCACGCAGACGAAGTTGAGGCAAACACCTAGTCATTCTTAATTTTAGAACCTCTAACATTATTCCGAAAGTATTTTGAATTATAAAATTCAATTATAAATTAAACAAAAAAATAATTAACGCCTTAGAAGTGCTAATTTGTAACGAAATTAGAAAAACCCAATTAAATGAAAATATTTAAAGTCTCCCGAAGTAATTTCATAAAGTTATCAAATATAATTTACATAGGAATTCGACACAAACAAGTAATTTTTTTTTCAGTCTTGTTCAAATTAAGAAAACAATTTCAATTTAACTTTTCCCCATTTACGAAGATTTCTCAAATTTAGTCATAACACTGAACAACAGATATTTGCTATTTATAGACGACCCGAATAAAACATTTTTAGGCGGATTTGTTTTTTATACTCAGGTCTTAAAATAAAAAAATTAAAACATCTAAAATCTTGCACAATCTTTTCTTCTTCTACTTAAAAATAATATTTAAAATATTATAATTACTTATAACTAATTACTTTTCTAATTCCACTTTTTCATAATTGCGTCACTTTAAAGAGTTGGCATGTAAAAATAACGTAATAAAGTCACTATAAAGGCATCGCGCAAGAAACTTGACTTAATTAAAAGGAAGAGAAACATTTCACAATAGAGAGCACATGTTAAAAACTACAGCTTACCAAAGCAAGAGGTGGGATTGTTAGGCTAAGTGAAGTGCACACTCAATGTGTTACCCGCCTTATTAATAATATTAATTAAACAGTGACGCGCCTTTTAGCAACCTGTGTCTACTCTCTCTACTGTCATAAGTTAAATTAAGTAAAAGTTGTATGTAATATAGCAACTAACTCTTCTTTATTTTAGGTAATAGACGAGAGGCGTTGTTTCCCGAAACACAATTTTAACTAGTTCAGGAGACCAATTCTGTTGAAAATGTTTTTTTTTGTGCAATAATTATTTTTTTAAGTAAGAGATTTAATTTTTATGACGCTAAATAACCACCGATAGTAAAAACTTGAGTATCTATAGCTCTTCATAAACAAAGTAAAGAACATATAAAATTATAAGATAAATATTCTGTCGCCGTTTAAATCGATACGGATATTTATGTCTGTTTTATGTTTGTATAAACCGAAATTGTATGTACTTATACAATAATTGGCTCTTTGATGGATAAATCACTTTAGCAGAAGTGAAGGAAAAAGTGCCGAGTATATACCAAAAATGTTTTTAAAATAACTCATAATGTAGCATCAACCGATCTAAAAATGTAATCCTCATACACAATACTCTAACCATGGGCTTCTGACATCAAAATCCTCGTTTGAAAAACTATTTATCTTTGTTATGTCAAAGATGAAAGACGACAGAGATTTTGATATCAGAAAACCACGATAAGTAGTTTTGTCGTGTACAAATAAATCATACTTCATTTAATATGACTATTAGAGAAATGTAACATTTATATGCAATATTGTGTACTAGAGACTATAAGAGAACTTTGTAAGTAATGAAAACTCAGATGAAATATCAATTTTCAACGAGTATTCTCTGGAGCGCCACACGTGACGCACTTGACATCAGTTCGACCTCATTAATTTAAATTAGAACAATTTATTGCATGTATATTTTTTAAACAATCTATTCCAAGGAGGTTACTATTGTAAAGATAAATATTAGTCTTGTTAATAGCGGTAAAATATTTAGTTCCGTCGTTAATATAACTTGTTCTATGTAAAGTCAATTGAAACGGTTGCATTTAAAACGATACATGTGTTCAAGTAGAAAGATTAAATATATACTCGGAAAATTCTCTCCGTAGATCTTATTATTTAAAATTATAATCATCCTAATTATCATAAATCAGAATGTTTAGATGGATGGATGGATGTTTTGAAGGTATCTCCGGAACGGCTCATCGGATCTCGCTGATATTTGGCATAAATGCAGAACAAAGTCTGGAAGAACACATAGACTACTTATTAAGGTTTTTCAGTACCGCGCAGATGGAGTCGCGGACGACAGCTAGTATTTTATAAAAAAAATTACTTTGTTTTATACATTTACTTATAGATAATGTGAACAATGCGAGGAAGATTATCATATTATTCATGACAATAATACGATAATTACTCGATGATAAATACCCGCGTAATTGTTTCTATTATGTTTCATTTACGCGAAGTTTTGTTATACTATTATCACTGTCAATGTTGACTAAATCTATATTCGTGAAATTAGCACTAGCTTGACGACTAACTTGAGATTCTCGCTAGTCGAATCTGAATCACAGAACTGACAAGCGATCAGAATCGGCAATGGTCGCTTAATTGATAGATTGCTATTGACGAATTACAGGCGCCTTTCAATGAACTCTCCTATCTGGATTTACATTATTGAAATCAAGTAAATCAAAGATAAATTAAGGAAATTTGTACATCTGTTGTTCCCTTCTATTATAATGTAATAAAAATATAAAGGGGTTTAGCGCTTTTGAAGAGTAAAGTCAAAAAAAATAAACTAAAGAATTATGTAAATATAATTTGTATAACAAAATAAATCTTACTCATGAAAGCATAAATACGATATGAAAATGAAATTACAAGACCTTTTATTGTTGACTAAGGCACGATGGAAAATCTTCCAACATGAATTGCGTATTTGCTACAAAGGAGCAAACAATGTTTGTGTAATAATGTTTGGTTATTCCGATTCATTTTAAGAATAGAAGAACTAAAATTAATACTGTGGTTAATTTAATTACATATAATAAAATTAACGCAAAAACTGCTTTCTAATTGTAATTAATTTTGACAAAAATGTATAATAATTAAAATAATCTTTTTTTTATTGTCTGATATTATGTTAGTCATTATAATCTTATGTACTAACTTTATCATAATTAACAAAATCCTCACGTACAAATGAAAAAAAAAATATTAACCTTAAAATTTTAATTATTTATGTCCTACATCTCGTATCTATATACATAAATTCATATCAAACATATATGTACTTTATTCCTTCAATAAACCAATTTAAAAAATAACATCAACACTTTTAATTAAAAATAATTCATTACGTGTATCGTTTTAGAATTTTTTTCTGTAAAAGTTCTAAAAAGGAGGAGAATATTTGTGTCTAACCTGTAAATTACACGGACAAAGTCGCGGAACGCAACTTATATTATGTACTATTAACTGCTTTCATTTATCGCTGTTATATAAAAGTGTGCAAAAGGCAATAAAAATATTATTTTGTTTACCAGTAGAGGAATGTTTTTCAAACGATCTAACTTAGCAAATGTTTTTCAAAGTAAGAGGAAATTCTCACAGTAGGATGTGCCATTGAACACATAAAAGGTGCTTTTTATTTCCAGTAGTAAAGAAAGATAAGTACTATAAAATACTTTTGTTCATCACAATGTCGAGACAGAAAGTTGAGGGACTTTTTATTATTCATCTTGTAAGTATTATATATAAACAAATATTGTTATAACTTTTAGACTAGAGTTTGGGGTCTAGATTGTCATTTTAATATTATATGGGGTCACTTAATTGTTTCAGTCTTATAATAATGAATAATTTTTTTTTAATTGATATAAAAATGATAGCAATAATACTGGCATCTCATTTTTAATCTGTTATGTCAATCATACGAACCGCAATCATTTTTGTCAAACGTCATTATTCAAAGGAAAAAAAACGACACAAAAGCTATCTTGAAACTGAAGGCACAAAAGCTATGTAGAGACAATAAATTTAACCTTTGACAAGTAGCCTTATTCTCTTCAAAGGCTTTATTTCCTTTTATTATTTTGTCCCGAAATTATTTTAAGATGAACCTTTCAAGCGAAGTGCTACGAGCTAGAGAAAAGTTAAACCAATTACACGGCTTCGGAAGGAATATAATTTTGAATTGTTGAAGCGGCTAACTTGCGAAATTGCATGATATGGAATAAAAAGCTAAAACACCCTTAGTTCTGATTTAAGTAGTATTAGTATAATTTCTTTTGATTGAAACATCTTACGTCGTATTAAAAAATTCTGCATACATTCAGATGGATGCCCGGAAGGATTTTTGCAAGACTAAATCCATCCTAAATATTTATTTTGTTACCTCAAATCCGAAAGTTTGAACGAACACTTGCAATTACTCATTTTAGTAAAGCAAGAGTCAAAATGTATTTGAGTAAGTCACAAGACTTTAGCCTTTAAATTTTAATATTATCATTACCAATGACTTAATAGAAATTTTTCTTATTACTGCGCATTTTTATTTTTAAAACTTTTACATTAGGGATTATGACAAATTGATCTTGTCTACAATTGTTTAAATCTTAATATAAATAAAATATATTCTATTTGACAAACCTTTTTAACGTTCCTATAGAGCGTATTGTATAAGTAAGGTTCATTCTTTTTGCGGACCATAAAGTATAAGGATAAAATATGAGGACATAAATCATACGTATTGTGAGTTGCCAGTATTGTGTCGAAGAAATCTTAATGGCCGAAAATTTATGTCATACGCGAATCTATATAAGTTTGTAACACAAACAAAAACTACTTTTTAAATGTTTTAACTGAATCGTACTTAGCCAAAATATACCTTTAATTCAAAATAATTCGCTAATTATTTGTGTGACTTTCTCCGCTTAACTTTTATTTGTAACAAGCTGTCTCCCGCGACTCCGTCCGCGTGGAATTAAAAAAAAGCTATTGGTCGCAGCGTAATGTTATATAGCCTAAAGCCTTCCTCTATAAATGTACTATCCAACGAAAAAAGAACTTTTTAAATGGAACCAGTAGTTCCTGAGATTCGCGAGTTTAAACAACTCTTCCGCTTTCTAATATTAGTATTATAACAAATGAAAATAGACCTTTAGTCTAAGCAAGTATTCTTTAGGCGAAATAAAAGTTTGAGATTTTTAAACGCCACAGATCACAAGTCGCAGGAACAGCTAGTTTTTAATATAAATTGCAAAGTATGGATTATAAAATCTCCCAGAATCTCTCCTACAAGTAAATATACTTCATCGTGAATTTCAAGTGTTTCATAAACTTTATTACTGATTATAATAACTATAATAAATATATACGTCTATGTGTTAAGGTAGATGATAAAACAAAAATGTATTTTATAATACCTTCGTTAGTAAAAACCTTCTTCAAAGATTCGTTAAAATAATTCAAAGCAAACAAACCATAAAAGGGAACGTTTCTGGAAGTAACTTAATCATAAAGGTTTAATCAAGTCACTTGGTTAAAGTATGGTTAAAAAAATAAATATGGGAAAATGTTCAGGCAACGCGAAAACGTTTAAGTAATTTTAAGAAATATTTATTGTTGTGAATTTGCTTTAAACTTTTGCATGTTTTTTTTGTTAATCATACATATATATTTTAAACATGAAGAAAAAAAATACTTTTTGGACCAAGGTACACACAACTAATATACTGAAGAAAAAAAACAACTGCAATGAATGGTTCTTGTTTTCCAGATATTTGTTTCCTACTTTTATTATAATCATTCAAGAAAACGTAAAAGATTGTGCGTTTAAACTTTATTTCAATTTTGTTAGTCCAAGAATACTTCCAAGAGCCCTGTCTCATGAATTAAATGCAACTGAAATTATTGTTATATAGCTGTCGCCCACGACATCATCCGTGCAAAAAAAAAACTTAATAACTAGCCTATGTGTTCTTCCAGACTATGTTTTATATGTGTGCCAAATTTCGTCAAATTCTGTCAACTCGTTTCAGAGATACCTTCAAACAAACAGTTATCCATCTAGTTTTTCATTAAAAGTATTAGTAAGAAAACTGAAATTGATTTAATAAGTAATGCTAATGTTCCATTTATTTAAGTCTTTAGCTTTTACTTTGGGTCATGAAATATACACATAACGCACAAAGATAAAACGACAGGCATCGATGATTAAGTGGCTGAGACGAAAGAGCAATTAGTAGAGGTATCATATCACTTACCACGTACATCAGTCAATTCTGTCAACATTCTTTAACAAAACATCAGGAAATATTTTATCACTAAATATCCTTAAATTATTAATTCAAAATAAAATAATATTTACGCTAAAAAGACACACACTTAAATCAAAGTTAAAACATCGAAGATTTACTTTCGTATCGAGAGTTATGTTAGGAAACACGAGAACACAGCCTCCAGGCTCCGCGTCTGAAACAGAACTGAAATTACTGAAACATTTGTCGGCTCCCTCTGCGGACAGCAAGCCACCGCGGGATGATAAAATCCGCCAGTACTCACGATAAGCCGCTTACAAGCCTTATTTCATGGCTGTTTATCTTTTTATATCGTAACAATATAATACAATAATTCGAACGAGATTATCACTGGCTGCTAACTTTATTTCACTCGTGTTACACAAACAAATACGATATTTGAAACCGTGCCAAACGCATAAATTGCCAGATATAAATGGCTAATATTTGACTACATTTATGATATGAAACTATAACCTATATATAACTAAGTTTCGTATATGAATTCTGATTTTTATGAATTAAATATTGAGGTTACAATTTTCATTTAGCAATAAACAGTTGAATAATAAAACCCTTGATAATGTTTTGTGTTATATAAATATACTTAATGCGTATATGTTATACATATCGATAAGAAAAGTAGCTTTGAACATAGTGACAAATGGTTCTTTGTAAATTTTAAGCACCCCACAAAGCTCTCGAGTCGTTTCAAAGCAAGGCCGGCGTCGTAAGGTACTTCTTAAGACAATAGTTCCATTGAGATTGGGCTCTTTGTAATGCAAAGATCAAGGGCGATATATTGAGGTGCAAGAGTGAACACTTTGCTTAATACAAAAAGAACAATGACATCTCAATTGTCTGATAAAAGCCTATGTGTTAGTGATATTGTTTAAATTTAAATGTTTAATTTCCTCACAGTATTTTACATAACTCTTTATTTAACCAGTCACCAAATGCTTTTACTGGTGTACGTAAAAAAAAAATTGTAATCAACATGCGAAAAAAATGTCGATCTTTGCTACAGCCTTTGGTTCTTTTTGCTATTGCCTTTTGTTAAAATGATCAAAATGTTCAGTGGTCCCAAAAAATCACAAAAAAAAATATTTGCGTTGTTAAATATTCTACACACGTTTGAAATTGATTACAAAAATGAATTTTCACTTTCGGCCAAAAGTTTTTACGCGTACCGCTTTAACCAAGTTGGGAACATGAACCGCCGTGAATAATGGGCTAAGTTAAAAGTGTATAAAACTGAACTGTTCCTGTATTCGGTATGAATATTAATTCCATGGCTCCTAATTGTCATTCAAAGTGTAGCATTACGCAAGAAGAATTAAGAGGTATTTTGCTAATCAAGACTTTGAAGTTTAAACTTGATAAATTATTGTAATTAATTTAACTTAATTAAGCTTTCAAAGAAGATTATTATATCAACAGATTAAAGCTAAATTTAGTAGAATCTAATTTGGTAATATGAGCGTAATACAAACGTTACCATAGTTTATAGTCGAAAACTAATTTATGTCATACAAAAATATTTGTTCTTACTATTTAATATAGCGGATACATAGAACAGTTAAAAGAAATCATCTAAAGATCAACACAGCAGATTAACTCGTTAATGCTTCATGAATTTATCACGAATTTCACAACTCTGCCTCCGATTGATAAATGAGTTCGTCTTCGCGTATTTTGATTTATTATAATCAAATGAAATCCGATTAACTGCTTAATTTTATTCAGTTGTCAAAAGGTAGTTATTAAAATAAGTCGAAATTAAATCACGACTTCAAAATATCTTATGATTAAATTAAATATCAATTTATTTTACATTATCTTAAAGTTTTGTTCTTTTAAAATAATTAATTTAATATGTTAAGAAATATTCAAACTTTAGGTACCATGTTTGTCGTCTGAAACATACGAATGTTTCATGTCCCAAAGTGACAACAACTTCCTTTTCATATTTGACTTACACTTAAATATTTAGATCCTAAGTAATTTTACTGACGTCATTTAATTTCGGTTAAAGAATTTAAACGTAATTCATTATTCAATTAATTGCCTCCTCCCACACAAAATTTCCACGACAACTACGTAATTTCTCCTACACAATACTCAGACTTTAAAACGAGCTTTCAGTGTGTGAAATTATAATCTTATCTTAGCCTTCTATTATTTAAATCAAGTAGATTTTACTTAATGTTAAAGCGACATAAACAATACTCGTTTTGAGAATGGTAATTATTAATCGTTTTATGCAAATCTCACATCCCTTACTGAATGTAAGAATCTCTTAGAAGTGTTGCCATGTGTAAATTAAATGTTGAATAAATAATTTATATGAAAGGCATACACGCATTAGGCAGTCGGTGTTGACAGCTCGATGGTTGGTGTATGGCTGGTATCATTTTTTCATGTATTCTTTGCCTAATTATGACACACTGGAGTGATGCTTCCTGTTTATTATTTGCTGGTAATTAATAATTATTACTCATTTAAGCTTTGTATTTAGTTGGTTATAAAATGCAATTTAAAAGTAGCAGGAATGTAGTCACTATAGGAATAGACGTTCGGAAATAACCATACCGTCTGCAGATTAAAGAGTTATTATTCGTCAAACCATAAAATTCCCCTGAAATTGAAATGATTTTTATGGTTTTTATACAAATGTTTCGTCAGTGGAAACAGGGATGCTTAAAATCCTACATTTAATTTAATATAAAAGAGGGACATTGTTACAATGCGTTGGGTCATAAAAAATACAATTATCATGAAAGTGTTATAAAATATTTCTCGATTTTACCACAGCGAAATTGGTTTTGTTGAAAATTGTCATTCGAAAGTTTTCGTTGTATTAATTGCCTTGTGAGAGATAACGCCGTTAATTAAAACATTTCGTGAATGTAGTCGATGATAAATATCCCAATGAAAATCCACCATAAATCAAATTTGACGTTACTTTTTGTATTTTGATTTTAGTTACCGTTGTTTTCTGAGACCAAAACCTGTACAAAGCATATGTCATTGTCATCCCTCTCATTATCTTTGACAAAACAGAGATATGAATATGTTTTAACTTGACTTGACTAATATAATACCAGTCCCTCTCACCCTGATGAAGGGCCCCCGATGGGCTCAAAACTAGTCGGTGCTACCACCGGTCGAATATACGTGAGTGTTTAGCCTTTTTTATATAAGTTTAATCAAGTAAATTGCGATTTTATAATATTATTATAAATTAGGTCAAAAACAGTTTAGATATAATCCAAAATAAACACTTGATGATTTGTAAGAAAAATATATTCACAAATATTATAAATAGCTTTAACGAAAAATTGTCAACAAAAAATAATTTAAAAGACTAACAATGCACAAATGTTCAGTACCGTCGACTCGCAGTGGCGTTAAACTTGTTAGACATGAGCAATATCTCCAATAGGATTTTTAGAAAAGAATCCAACAATGCTCTTGAATACCTTTTTAGCGGATTCTTCTATCATTGGACCACCGAATTCCTTTGTTATCTCCTTCCAGTTTTCATTCAAGAATATTATCATTGCGTCACCTAAAAAATAAAGAAAAAGGTATTCATAAGGACCTTGGTATGACGCAGCTTAGTATGTTTTATAACACCAATTTTCCACTAGCGGGGCTAACCCATTTTATTTCTACGAACAATGTGCGCGCGCCAAACCTGCGGAGCAATTGCTTGCTTAGTGGAAAAGGAGTCATTAAACTTTAACTCTTTCAACATCCAGATTTGCTTTCCTTTATGTCCTTTGCTGGTATTTTAAGGTACTCACTTAGTTCTTTATTTCCGTTAAACAAATTTGTGAAATCGAAGTGGGCGCCGTCTATAACTTCATATTCGTACTTGAACGAGGTTGGTTTGACAAGGTCCTTGCCATCTTTCTTCTCAATGTCATAGGTAAGTATCAATTTGATATTCAAATTTTCTGGAAATCATTGAAAGGAAATAATTTCTGTATTAACAAAATATTATTATGAATGACCTCCCCCACCGAGGATCTTAAGCATACTTTAAATAAGGGATAATTAGGTATTAATCAACCACGCTGGCACAATGCGGTTTGGTTGTCTATACCTTTACTTTCGATTTCCTCGCAGATATGTGCAGGTATCACGATGTTTTGTTTCTCCGCAAGAATTTTTTTTATATACGTCGTTCTTTACATTATAAGCAAATATAACGTTTATTTATAAATCGAGTGGAACGGAACATCATTATTATTTACTTGGCAGGGTTTAATTGTTAAATTCACTTACTTAATTTAAGTTTCATTTGGCCATCTCCTGTTATGGGCAAGATAAGGACGCGGCCCGCAGCGGTATAATGACCCTTAATGCTACAGTCGACATGATAAGCCACATTTATTTTCTTATTCTTAACATCCCATCTGAAAGTTAATATTGAGGAATATACAATTATTCATAAAAATATAAAATACTAGATGTCGCCCGCGATCCCGTATACGCGGAATTTTTCGGAGATATCTTTCAACACACATCCATCTAAACATTCGCATTTATAATATTAGTAAGGAGTAAAATTTAAAAAAAAATCAAGCAAATGGAATGAAAATTTAAATGAACTGTAACATTACAAAAAACCCATGCCAAATATCCGGTTAAAACCGCAACAAAGGTTTTAATAAAAAAAACATCATTTGACATTTAAAATTTTTCAAAACAACAGTGGAATAAACCACAAGTTTTGTTGTCAAGAAAAATTAATAAACTCTTCAACGTTACGGCTAATGTGTGTGGTGCCATAGGCCCAATTTAAGTTTTCTTCCGCCATCCACCTTTTTATCTTATACGGAACTATAGATTTTTCGGAATATTTCTTTTTATCGTCCTACAAAGTTAGGTAACTGTCAACGTCAGACGGTAACTTTTCTAGTTAACTTTTGCATTCCATTAAAAAGAAAATCAAACACAAAATAAACTCCAAGGATCGTAACACTAATATAAATGACAAATTACATACTTAACATCGTCTATAATGGAGTTCTTCAATCCTTTAACGGTGCCGTCCTTTAGACCGAACTTTAGGCCAGCTAGTTCAAATTTTAAATCATCAA